ACTAGGGGGTGATCTGAGTTTTTACCACCCGCCTTACAACTATCTGATTGTTTACATTTTACATTGATGAATGATGATGATATAATTTTTATGTCCGTTATAGGGAAAACTTTCCCTACTCTGGATCCAAGGACTGGAGAAGTGATCGCTCAGGTTGCCGAAGGTGATGTAGAAGACGTGAACCGTGCGGTTCTAGCCGCACGAAAGGCCTTTGATCAAGGACCATGGCCTAGAATGACAGCTTATGTAAATAATTAGCCTATCTTGGTTATCAACCTATATATTTTTGTGCTCTTGAAATGACTCCTAGCTTTGGCTAATTTCTTCAGGACAGGTCAAGGATACTGTATCGTTTCGCTGACTTGATCGAGCAACACAACGACGAGATTGCAGCTCTTGAGACTTGGGATAATGGCAAACCTTATGAACAATCTGCCAAAGTTGAACTGCCTATGGTTGCCAGGGTGTTCCGGTACTATGCTGGTGAGTGAAACCACTGATTTTCCTGATATGTTTTAAAGGAAAACCAATGGTGTTTTGTTCTTCGATGAGTTTCTCAGGTTGGGCAGACAAGATCCATGGAATGACAGTTCCAGGAGACGGTTCACACCATGTGCAGACCCTCCATGAGCCTATAGGAGTCGCTGGACAGATTATCCCATGGAACTTCCCTCTTCTCATGCTTTCTTGGAAACTTGGACCGGCTTTAGCCTGCGGAAACACCATTGTCCTCAAGACGGCTGAGCAAACTCCTCTGTCCGCTCTTCTTGTTGGAAAACTACTTCACGAGGTACTTTTGTTTTGCTTTCATTTGTCCATTAGAGCTTTTTTCTTTACTACAACTTATAGGCTTTCATTGAATTTTAGTAATGTTGATTGCTTGAATTGAATTAAATACCATATATACAAGTAGTATCTCATTGATTTAATCTGTCATGTTTTTTTCTCAAGTAACTGATATTTATGACAGGCTGGACTTCCGGAAGGAGTTGTAAACATAGTCTCTGGATTTGGTGCTACAGCTGGTGCAGCCGTAGCTAGTCACATGGACATCGATAAGGTTTAAAAGACAAACCTTGAACCGTTCTTTGTATTTCAAACGCTTTCTGCATTTGTTATGTATCTTGTTCTGCAGAGCTTTTCCTAGTTTCTTGGAAAAGCTTCTGCAAGAATTAAAAGTTTAGAAGTTCTGCTTTCTGTAGAACTTCTGATAAATCCTCTGCACTCTACAGGTTGCTTTCACCGGGTCTACTGATGTCGGAAAGATTATTCTTGACTTGGCTTCAAAAAGCAACCTTAAGGCAGTGACTCTTGAGCTTGGAGGCAAGTCACCATTCATTGTATGTAAAGATGCTGATGTGGATCAGGCCGTTGAGCTCGCTCATTTCGCTTTGTTCTTTAACCAGGTAACATCACTCAAAGAAACATCTGTATTTTGTTTCTATGGATTCCAATCTACAATCTTAAACATCTGATAATTAACCTCTTCTGGTTAACTTGCTTGCAGGGACAATGCTGTTGTGCTGGCTCGCGTACATTTGTACATGAACGCGTGTATGACGAGTTTGTAGAGAAAGCTAAAGCTCGTGCAAACAATCGCGTTGTTGGCGATCCCTTCAAGTCAGGCATTGAGCAAGGTCCCCAGGTAGACTCAGAGCAATTCAAGAAAATCCTAAAGTACATTAAACATGGAGTTGATAGTGGAGCCACCTTACAAGCTGGTGGTGATCGTCTTGGTTCTAAGGGTTACTACATTCAACCAACTGTTTTCTCAGACGTGAAAGTAAGTAAACAGATTAGTACCCTTAACAAAACTCAATTAACGTCATAGTTATGTTGCGAAAACATCAGTTTAAATGGGGGTGTATTGAACTTGGCAGGATGACATGCTCATAGCGAAAGACGAGATTTTTGGGCCTGTTCAGACCATACTAAAATTCAAGTACAAATCTAATGTTAAACCAAAACTTCTTCCTCTTTGTTTGACATATTCTGAGTAAACTTTACTAATGGCTCTTGATGTTTCATAGGGATCTGGATGAGGTGATTGCGAGGGCGAACAACTCGAGGTATGGTTTAGCTGCAGGAGTGTTCACACAGAATCTGGACACAGCGAATCGGCTGTCTCGAGCGCTCAGAGTTGGGACCGTTTGGATAAACTGTTACGATGTATTGGATATCACAATTCCATTTGGAGGGTATAAGATGAGTGGCATTGGGAGAGAGAAAGGTATCTATAGTCTCAGCAATTACTTGCAAGTCAAGGCTGTTGTCACTTCCCTCAAGAACCCGGCTTGGCTCTAAACCGAACCAGGTATCGCGCATTTGATTTGCTAGACTTTTGTTTATTTCTGAAGCTTGATTAATAATGGATTGGCACTTTTGCTGTGTAAAACCTCTTAAGTTTCTTAATAATAAGAGCAAGTCTATCTTCAAGTACGCATTGACACTTAAGATGCATACAATGATACAAATATGTATGTTGAAAGATAGAATCAATTATCTTTTTACTTTAGGGTATATAAACTTGGCTAATACAAAAGAATCCATAAATCACTCTCTCTATAAGAAGTGGAAACACAAGTGGGAACAACATAAAACTCTCAAAATCGCGTGTATGGTTCAAGGATTCTTCATTTTGATCCTAAGCTTTCTAGTGATATGTGATGCTTTCGGATGGACCGGTCGTCTCGTGTTATCAACAGAGTGTTCTGCTTCAACCCAGTTGACAAGTTTGAGAATCAGAGACTGTGGAACCTTCGTTACATCTGCATCAGCTGTGCCTTTACATTTCTTCATCCCTTTCTCCAGAGCCTTTTCTATAAACTCCATGAACCAATTTGCGGCTTCTTTCTCTATCTCTTTCGCCAACCTCGCCGTGTTTCCTAATCCGGAAGTAGGAGCTGCTGGGTTCTTGTTCTCATCGTTTGATCTCAGCTGCTTATGATTTTGTTGCTGCTTCGGGGCAGTTCTTCTCTTCGATGCGGTTTTCTCTTGATCGATAGAGTTGTGCTGGATTTCGTGAAGTATCAAAGACGATGATCCATCCTCAGTAGCTGATGAAGAAACAGCTGCTTCAATGGATGTGATTTCGCTCACGGTTTCCGCTATCTGGCTGTGAAACTCCAAGAACTTTTCAAAGCACGCAGCCGGGCAATCGGCTTTTGCTGATTTGCTTAGATTGGCGAATGTCCTGTATAGTCACCAAAATAGATTCACAAGAACTTTATCACATTTCAAACTTAAAAAAACATAAATCATACAAAGAGAAACGACGAAATTCAGCTTCATACTTGAGATGACGAACGACTGTTTCTGTGGCTGTAGCCTCTCTTAATGCCTGAAGAGCTATCTTCTGAGCCGTTTCTCTCCGCTGGATTGCTTCCTGTGCAGATTAAAAACATTCTTAAATACAGGTAAATGACCTCCACATACTTTTAGACTGTAATAATTGAATCTAACATACAAGTTTGCAGATTTATGCAAAGGGAAATTGAATCACCTTGCTCAGTGTGCTGAGTCTTCCTGGTAGACTCAAACTCTTCTCTGGTTTGTCCAGCTGATTGTGCTTTGGAGAAGCCATTTTCGAGGTAGAGTTTGGAGCATCTCTTTCGTCTTCCACCAAAGCAGCTGTTGCGATTGTGCTTCTTGTGCGTAAAATCGGAGGCGGTGAATTGCTTTTCTTAGCCTGCAAAAATCACCATTGTTAACTCACTATGCCAAAGAAACCCTTTGTGATTAAACCAAATGAGAAACTCAGAACAAAATGTACCTACAGAGGATTTAAAGGGACTAAAAAGAACAGAAGAAACAGAGTTCTTCATCGTCTCTCTATCGCAAACACTTCTGCTTCTCGGAAACTTGGAAGTCGGCGGAACAACACAGCTCTTCCTCATCATAGCAGCAGGACTCTCTCCTTTAAGATCCACCATTTTCCCCAAAAGCCCTCCTCCATAAGAACACCTAACACCACCACCTGGTGATCTCCCTCTTGTCATCACCACCGGAGACGCCCCAACCGCCCCGAATCTCCCCGAACCAATCCTATGTTTCGCCGGCGTACACTGATCGAAATCCAAAAGCGCAGGCTTTAAGACAAAGGGAGACGAAATATCACAGTTTTGTCCCCAAGATCCTCTTCTCGGCCTCGAACCAGACTCTTTCTCTGTCTTTCTTCTTGTGCTCATCAATGGCTCGGGAGTTCCGAGCAGAGGATGCCTTCCCGGAATCGGCCTAGCGCCTTTAACGATCGGAACGGGGGTTCCTGGTTCGAGCCGATCGACGTAGATAAACTGACCAAGCTGCATCTTGTTGCTTAGAACGACGTCGTCTTGATCCGAAGGAAGGCTAACGTAAATGGAGTGAGAAGAATCAGAGACTTTTATGACGAAGCCTTGTTTGGGCAAAAGATTCTTCTCGTCAAGATCGACGGGGACTATATCGGTGACTTGTAATAGAGAGCTTCTGTGTTCTCCGGTCGGTTTAACTCCGGTTTTCATACCGTCGATCAGTTTCTGAAGGATTCCTGGAGCTAAAGCCGCCATTGTTGTCTGAGTTAAAGATCGAGAATTGGTGATTCAGATGAGAAAAAAGAGAAATTTCAAGAAGTGGGTATATAGATCGGGAAGATTTGTTGTTTACTGGGTTTGTTTCAGGTAAGAAGAAAGAATTGCGTGATTTGAAACAATATAGGGTTTTTACTTAGCCGGGGATAGCTAACGGTAAGTAAGAACTTAAACAATTGGGGGGTTTTTGTTTGGAACGTTGTGTGCAACGGTCGAATTGGTGGTAGGTCTCT